GGGGGGGGGGGGGGGGGGGGGGGGGTTGTGTTTGCATTGCAATCAAAATACCAGTTGTGAAAGGAAATCCTCTGAACTGCTTATGTAAGTTAACACAAGTAAATATACAGGTTAAAGTCCTGCGATTTGTTTCTTAAGGATGAGAAAAGGTCTTAGGCAAACACATTGGAAGTATTCACAGCGCAATTCTCTAAAAGATGATATTCTGGTTGGTTTAATTAATGAGATCGATACCGCAAAGGCCAATCGCTGTTATTCTTAATCGAATGCTTAAGATGTCAACACAAAAAATGCGTTAACTTTTTATTGAAAACACCCCCATTATTAATTTTTTAAATAAAAATTAAACTAAAACAAACACATAAAAAAAAAACCTCCAGAAACCGCTATTTTTTAAGGCTGGTCGTAGTGCTGTAGTCTTACTACTTAGGCTTTAAAACGTAGTTACTGCGGCGAAAGCGTAGGTGTAAACAGGTCCTATAATATGTCAAACGACAGGCTCAGAGCGTCTGATTTTGATTTAACCATCTTGAAAGAACAAAAAAAAAAAACCAAGAGAATTTAAATTTAATGGTTTGTCGAAAACAGCATATTAAATTTTCTAAGTAGCATCGGCTTGCCCCAGTCTTTTCAAAATTTTCTTAGGTTAATATAATAATTAACTAATAATTTTCAAAGTCATCACTTTAACTTCAATCATCGTACTTTAGGCTTGGGTCCGAGTTACAATTGTCGCAAGGCATTCTTGTACTTGTAACATTTTTATCTGTAAAAATAATTAGAAATACATAGAAACATGAGGTAATTGAAACATGATTGAAAAAAAACGCCATTCATTTAGATTTATTTTGTAATGATGCGCTCCAAATGTTTGTAAACAAATACCCGTTATTGTTTGCTCATTTCCTTCGCTTCTACAGTCAGCACTACCCATACTGAGATAGTTTGCTGCATCATAAACTAGTCTCTCAGGCCAAAATTCCGTTAGTCGATCTCGTCGGAGCCATCGCATGATTTTTAGGGGCTCTCTGCCACTATACGGTTTTGGACACCCTTCCTTTTAAGTTGATAGTTTATTTTGCTTTCGTAGTTTAATGTCTACTTAAAAAAGAATCTTAAAAATAAAAATAACAAATGCTGAATATTTCAACAAGGCACTCTTTATCTACTTTACGACTCACTAAAGCTTCGCTCAATTAAGTTTAATCAAGAGGGAAAAAAACAAAACACCAACAATTATTACATCAAGAAATGGCGTCAGCAGGGCGAGTTTACACTCTTTATGCCCCCCCCCCCAAATTACGCATCGGGCCGCCCACTCGTCAGGACGGCCCCCACCCGGCCCCTTACCCAAGTCCCCCACCCGGGCGCCTGGGCGCTCGACCAGGGCTCCGCCTGGGGGCCGCCCCAACCAGTAGGCACCCGGTCGGTCCGACACTATGCGTTTAAATAGTGCACACGATCGACTTTCTTATGGAGTTGGGATGGAAAATTTACGTCCTAATATCTTCCCCCACCCATCCCGGGAAAGCGTCGGACGCCCTATAAGAGGGATTCCACAGTGGGTTTCCACAACACAACTAGCTCGCGTTGTAGCTGGGACGAAACGGTTGCCCAGGGACGGCTTTCTGAAGGCTGCATTGTTTGAATCCTCGGCCAGAGGTTACCACCCTCGCCTCTGGCCTCATCAGAGGCGTAGCGAAGGGGGGGCAGGGGGACAAATGTCCCCGGGCGCAAGCTAGTTAGGGGCGCCAAAATGTGCTTTGATATTATATTATTGGTAAAAATAATGGGGGTTTTAGAGTTGAAAAAAAGAAAAGGGGGCGCTTTAAAATGGATCTTGTCCCCGGGCGCGAATCTTGACCCCGGGCGCCAAACACCCTCGCTACGCCTCTGGGCCTCATACCCGTCACCGACTTGTAATCATGATCCCTACTCTGGCTCTGCCTAATTTTCCGGCTGTGAAGTATCACAACTGGCAGCCCTGTGGAGCTGTTTTATGTACGGCAGGTACCGAGCACACCCTTTGTCTGCCCACGCGAGGCGTGCCCAGTAGTTATGTTTCCCGGTACATGCCGAGGGGGTCGGTGGCCGACGCTTCCTAATCGACAAGCCACAACAGACTTGCCAACCGGAAACCGGGATCGAAACACCAACAATAAACAGCATGATTGTTATAATGCATTGTCAACGGCACGATAACGAGCCCTGTTTTCCCTTTAAAGCTAGAATCTGTTTGTCAAGAGTTGAGCCGGTTTTAAAACATAATCAAATCATGTGCTGCCTGTGGTCTCTTGACTTCTCATTCTCCGGGGTTTTTAATATTAAAAATTGCCAACTGCTGAAGCCTTTAGTCTAATTATTATTCAATATAACAACTTGCAGTATATGGCAGCCTGCTATTCGCAATTATTAAATGAAACAAGAAGGGTGGCTAGCAAAATTTGCTGAAAGAAAAAACGTGTTTGGGAAAAATCTAATTTGTAGAGATAGAAGAGTTGGCAAAAGAAAGAGATGTAAAGGGAATGTACCTGAAGATAAAGCAGGAACAGAATGGCTTTCAAGCAAGATCCCACATGTGTGAAAGTACGGGTGGAGAAATGATCACAGAGAGCAGTAGAGTACTAGAGAGATGGGGATGGGGGGCAACACTTTGAAGGCTTACTGAATGGGTCAGGTGGAGGAACCAATAAGGATTACGCTCTACCACAAGGAGGACCGGACCCACTGGTCAACCAACCATCATTAAATGAAATAAAAGATGTGATCTTAACCATGAAAAATAACAAAGCCCCAGGAATAGACCTTATCTCTGCAGAACTGATAAAGCTAGGTGGTAACGAACTGCATAGGCAAATCCAGGACCTCATATCTAGAATCTGGCAGGAGGAAGAAAAGCCAATAGAATGGGACACTGCACTCATAATCCCAATTTAAAAAAAAAATGATCTAAGTTGGTCTGCTCAAACTACAGAGGAATCTCCGTCCTTAATGCCATGTACATAATCCTCACAAAACTTATAGCAAGAAAACTGGAAAGGTTTAGTGAACAGATCTAGGGGGCTCCCAATGCGGATTCTGGCAGAATAGGTCAACCACGGATCGTATTTTTTACTACTAGATTTAGATGTTTCCTGGAGAAATGTTACGAATATAACATCGACATACGCCAACTATACGTGGAATACAAAAAAGCACACGAAAGCGTAGACAGGAATTACTTATACAACGCTCTACAAGAACTTGGAGTCCCTAACACGCTTACTAGGCTCATACATATGACGATGGCTAACTCCAAAAGTAGAATCAAGGTGCGGGGAGAATACTCAAGGGAGTTAGTTAATTATTGCCTCAGACAAGGAGATTCACTATCATTGATCATGTATCCTGTTTAACATCACGCTAGAAAAAGTAAATCGAAGCATACACGTGAGCACCAGTGGAACCATAACAAGCTACTTCCAGGGAGGTATTACAGAACAACAACCACCAGGAACGGTATATATTATAGCCAGCCATAGCAGTACCTGGCATACGCAGACGATATAGCGATACTGGGTAGAAACAGTAATGACATACACTGTGAAAAATGCAATGTAATTTGACTAATATTTACTTTAAAATACTCTATTTTGCTGTAAATGATAATTTCTTATTGTAATTTTTTTTTTTTAAACAGAAAGGGAATGTAACAGTTGGAGATACGCGCATAGAGGCGGAAAGCCACGGATAATGCTATTCTGAAGCCACAAGCCACTTTCGGAATATCAATTCTATATTTAGCAGCGTCTTAGATGGAAGTCCAGATTGAATACCCGGTTTTCTTTTATAGTTATAGTGTGGAAATTTGTAATCGTTTACTTGGATAACTCAAAATTTTACAATGTCAATACGTAATATGGATTACGGTTTAGGTCCCTTGGGGCAGACTGTCAGAAACATGTATAGATTGCGTTACAGCAGTCACCATCTTGA